TATATTACATTATATGCACATGTGGGCAAGTGTGTATTTATGTGTGGGAGCACACATGGTCCACAGTACTTGCACAGAGGTAGGAGGACAATTTATGGGAGTCAGTTCTCTCTTTCTGACATGTGAACTCCAGGAATCAAACTCACCCCCCAGAGGAGGGCTTTGGATCCCCTGAAGCTAGAGTGACATACAGTTATGAGCTGCCAGAGGTGCTGGGGATCAAACCCAGTCCTCTTGGAAGAGCAGTCAGTGTTCTTAACCTCTGAACCATGCCTCCAGCCCCGATGGCTTCATCTTTAATCTGGTTTTGAACGTCTTCCGGAAGTTGGTCCCTGAGTTGATGACCACACAACAAATGGATAAAAGTTCAAAGAAGGCATCGGGTCACCCCGCCCACTTTGAAATCCACTGGTAACTGTGGAACTCGAGCTCCATATCAGCTAGGGACCCGGTGTCCTTCAGAAACAGGGTTAGGAGAGCACAGTGAATGAGGGGCAGGATTAGCTTTGCTTCCCTATCCAGCTGCCATACCTGCACCTGACACTCAGCATCTCTAACTGGGTTGCAAGATGGGTTTTTTTGTCGTTGCTTTTAGATATTTTATTTTATTTATGTGTTTGAGTATTCTGCCTGCATGTACCTAAGTGTATCACATGTGTAGTGCCCAGGGAGGTCAAAAGAGAGCATCAGACACCCTGAAACTGGTGTTATGGATGGTTGTGAGCCATCATGTGGGTGCTGAGAATTCATCCTGGGTCCTCTGCAAGAGAAAGAAACGCTCTTAACCATTGAGACAGTCTTAATACTTGGCTCTATCCCTGGTTACAAGGGATTTAAGTGACAGATTTGGGGCTTGAGAAATGTTTGGACATTTAAGTCTATATAAATATTCCAAAATCTGAAAGACACTGAAGTCTTAACTACTTCTGGTCACAAGCATTTTCATTAAGGGATCCTTAACTTGCATAAATAGTTTCAGCTTGTCTTCTGAGACCTTCTGAGACCACGCTGTGTACACAGATCTCTGATGTTTAGAATAGTGCTAATGGGCAGCATTTACTTAGACCACTTCTTTTTCTCGTTCTCTGGCTGATAAAGAAAGTGGCAGCCTACCTTCCTTTCCTTCCTCCCTCCACTTCTACTTCTCCTTCCTCCTGCCTCTCCTTCATGGCTTGTTCCTTCTTTCTTTTTTTCCCCAATGTCATTATGTTGACCAGGCTGGTCTTGAACTCATAGGTTCAAAAGATTCTCCCATCTCAACTACCCTAAAAGCTGAGATATTCTCTCTCTCTCTCTCTCTCTCTCTCTCTCTCTCTCTCTCTCTCTCTCTCTCTCACACACACACACACACACACACACACACACACACATATCTCATGAATATTCTTATCATGCTAATGACATGGTAGCTATACTTAACATATTGGTCACCGATGGAATGAAGGAACTTCATGACCTTCTTATTCAAGTGTCTACCATTCTATTGCTGGGCTGGAGTGGTTCAGTGTTCTTGCAGAAGACCCATCTGTGGTTCCCAGCACCCACACAGTACCCAGTTCAGTAGCATTTAAACCATATAGGATCAAGCTGGAGAAATGTCTCAGAGGGTAAGAACACTGGCTGCCCTTTCAGAGGACCCAGGTTCAACTCTCTGCCCCTACACAGCAGGTCACAACCATCTGTAAGTACTGTTCCAGGGGACCCAACACTCCGCCTCCTCAGGCACTGAATGCATGTGTACACAGAAACCTGTACACATAGAATACAATGAAAACCTAAAAGATGGTAGAGTTACACATTTTCTACCTTTTGTGGATCAAGCTTCCGGTATAATATCTCATGGGAGGGGAAATGAAGGGATCCTTGTGTTATCTAAACCTCAAAAGAAAAGGCTGCCTATCTCACTGTGAAACACACCATTTTTGATACATGTATATTTAGACATATGATTAGTTCAAGAGTTTCCCTCCTTTTCATCGTTTGCTGTTGTTTGTACTGTGGGGAGACGTTGCTGCGATGAACAGAACGTTACTGGATTGGCTTTGTCTCTGTGTCTTTATGAGTGTTGCCCCTGTGTCTTGAGTGACAGCTGCCTAGCTCTGGCCTTGTGAAGGAGGATCAGCGAGGACAGATCCTTTGGCCCTTTTTCTAGAGAATTTATATTTTCATTCTATGCTGTTCCCAGCAGACTTGGCCAGCTGAACCAATGTGTCTAATAGTTTCTTCTTTTCTTTCAGGGAGGCTTATAAGTGGTGGACTTGGCTTAGTTAATTGTTCAGCACCACTAAAGGTTTCTGCTTCTTTTTGTTGTTTTGGTTTGGTTTTTTGAGATGGGGTTTCTCTGTGTAGCTCTGGCTGTCCTGGAATGCTCTGTAGACCAGGCTGGCCTGGGACTCACAGAGATCCACCTGCCTCTGCCTCTCTGGTGCTGGGATTAAAGGTGTGCGCCACCCTGCCCTGGCTCTACTTACTGTTAAAATGACCCTCTAAGAATCTGCTTGTCTTCCCCTCTAGGGAACTGCCTGCTTTGGGCACTCCTCCTTAGTGAGAGGTGAAATCTGCTTTTTCTTTGGCTCCTTTAAGGATCTCCTTTTTTTTTTTTTTTGAGACAGTGTCTCACTATGTAGACCAGGCTCACCTCAAACTCAGAGGGATCCACTTGCCCCTGCCTCCCAAGGGCTAGGATTAAAGGTGTGCACCCTACACCTGGCTGAACTTTTTTTTGAACTATTCTTTTTAAAATCTTCTTTTCATCTTTTATGTGGACAGGTGTTTTGCCTGCACGTATGTCTGTACACCATGTGCACACAGTGCCCACAGAAACCAGAAGCTGGGCTCAGGTCCCCTGACGCTGGAGTCACAGACAGTTGTGAACCATCATCTAAGTTCTGGGGATTGAACCCAGGTCTTCTGCTAGAGCAGCTGGTACTCTTAAGTGCTAAGCCACCTCTACATCCCCCTATATTATTATTGTTGTTGTTATTATTATTATTAATATATAAGTGCTGGGGACTGAAGTCAGGGACTTGAGCATGCAAGTCAAGCACTCTCCCACTGAGCCACATCCCCAGCTGGTGCCATTTTTTTTTTTTAAACTAGTGTTGGTGATTCTTTGGGTCCCTACATCTGAGGGTTGATACTTTCCACCAGTTCTACAAATACTTTCTTTTCAAGCGCTGCGCCTTCCACAGCCTCTCCCTCATTGCCGCTGGACCTGAGATTAAACTCCGCCGGCCTAGTAAGGCCAGCACTTTGTCTGCCAGTGCCAAGCATCCGATCAAATCTTTGGCCTGTCTAGTTCCTGCATTCTGTCTTCAGGGACGCCTAATCCAACCACTTGTCGGACACTACTTCCATTAATTATATTTGTCTACCTTATAAAGCTTTTCACTTCATCAAACACCCTTGATTCAATTTCCTACCTCCTTATGCTCACTCATAATTGGAAAGCTTTTTTTAAAAAAAAATTATTTTTAAGAAAGAAAGCAGGTTTATTTGACTTAAGGTGTTACAAAGAGAGCACCAGGCAGAAGGACCCTGAGCCAGCAGAACTGAAAAGCCACCAGTTGAAGGCTCATTTTTAAGTCTGCCCAGCCATGCTGACGATGACTGTGCTTGGCCATGGCCATCATCTGAATTCGTGGTTCGGGGTTCTGCGTGATGACATCACCTTTATAATGAGAGAATGATTGAAGTACCATGCCAGGTATCTCATATCAGGTGCGCACATCTTTACTGGATGTCAACCTCACTGCTTATCATAATGTTGAACCAAAGGAAAAGAAAGCTGTCATTTCCTGTTTGGATTTTTTCATCTAGTAACCGTATAAAAATCTTATTCTTCATCCACATAGTTCACCCAGTATCGACATGCTGTCTTAGCCTCCTACAATGAATGAAAGGAAAAAAAAAACATATTTACATGACCTCTTTCATTGTTCATAAAATAGATAAACTATGAGGGTTATGCCATCACTACTTTCTTAACCTTCACCCACAGTTTATGTGTTCCAACTCTTCGGGGAATTAGAAATCTATTCACCCCTCTCCAGTGCCTGCCACTGTCCTGACATCTCCCATACTTCATCTCTGGGCGGCTGGCCGGATATCCTCAGAAATCTCACACTTGCTGGCATCCTGCTCTGCCCCACCTCCCAGCCTCCACCATCTCCTGCTCTCATCTGTCCTTTGATCTCATGGAGAGCCACAGCCTCCACCCAGCACAGGCAGAGAGAAAACAGTTGCTTACCAGCACAGGATGGGTCTGGATCACGTGTTCCAGGGTCAGGGGTGCTGTAAGCCTGGGGTCTGTGGGCATCCCGGGAGGAGCAGTGCCCCTCATGTGATCTGAAAGCTTGCTCCTAAAGGAAAGAGATTATCTTACAGATGGCATTCAGATTGTTTTCTGTGCATAAACTCCAATGGTGTTAACACTAGTACAGACTTTTTTTTTTTCTGCAAATACAGGGTTTTTTTTTTTTTCCATTTCATTTATCTGCATGATATTAACCTTTTTTTTTTTTTTCTTGGATCACAGGCGTTGTTATAATTTAAATTTTTTGTTTGTTTGTTTTTTCAAGATAGGGGTTCTCTGTGTAATGTTTGTTTGTTTGTTTGTTTGTTTGTTTGTTTGTTTGTTTGTTTTAGGTGTGAGTGAGTGGTCTGCCTGCAGGCCAGAAGAGGGCATCAGATTCCATTAAAGATGGTTGTGAGCCACCATGTAGTTGCTGGGAATTGAACTCAGGACCTCTGGAAGAGTAGCGAATGCTCTTAACCAGTGAGTGAACCATCTCTCCAGCCCAGTTTTAAATTTTAATGTGTGTGAACAATTGGCCAGCCTATATGTCTGTGTGCCTTATGCATGCAATGCCCATGGAGGCCAGAAGGAGGCACTGAATCCCCTGGATCTAGAGTTACAGGCAGTTGTGGGCTACCCTGTGGATACTGGGAATTGAACCTGCGTCCTCTGGAAGAGCAGCCTGTGCTCTCAGCTGTGGAACCATCTCTCCAGCCCTGTCAATACCATAATTAAAAAAAAAAAAAATGTGAGTCCTTTCTCTAAGACAATCATATGTGGTGTGTTTTAAGGGGGTCTCTCTCTCTCTCTCTCTCTCTCTCTCTCACACACACACACACACACACACACACACACACACACACATAAGGCTATGAGACTTTCTCACTCCCAGAAAGTTTCCTCTCACTGGACTTAAAGCATTGCTTTCTTGGTGGATCTGGCATGGAGTATATATCAGTCACAGACTATCTCTAACTTCTTTCTGAATAACTTGAATCCACGAGGCTATTTTAGGACGAACATGGAATTGACCATGAACAAAATCACAGGACCAGTCTTCATGATTTTGAAACAGATTGGATAAAAGTCTGGCTTGGCATTCTGTGCTCAGTGGCACTGCCTTGGCAGAGTCAAAGATGCTGATTGGGACAGTATACCTGCTTCTAGATCCTTCTTCCAGTCCTCACCAAAGGTCACTATCAGAGAAACAGAAGCAAACAGCGAATAGCAAGGGCATATGTGTGCACATGTGGGGGTGTGTGTCAGTGTGTGGAAGTGTGTTCATGTGTGTGTGCCTATGTGTATCTGTGTGTGTGTGTGTGTGTGTGTGTGTGTGTGTTTTCATGTGTCTGTTAGTGTCTGGGTCTCTGAGTGTGTGTGTGCATGTGTGAGTGTGTGTGTATGTGTCTGTGTGTATGTGTATGTGAAAATATCAAGTGTCCTGGAACTTGCATGAAAATGCAAAGAAATGAGAGAAGAATTTTTCCTGCTAGCTGTGTTATCTTAAACTTAATATCACTTTGTACAGGCAGCATCTGAAGATCTCCTAGAGATGGGTACTGGAGGATGATTCACTAGCAAATTCGGGCAGCTGAGTGGAACGACCCTGGCCCTGCCTTTCCTCAGCCACGGTGCTGCAAACGAGCCTACGAGAATGGCATCTGTGTCACTTGGGAGGACAGAATTCAGGGTGGCTCTAGAATGGACAGGAGCACTGACCCTCACCCCTCAGCACCTGCATGGTGCCAGGGTCTTAGCAGCATTTGAGGTTCTCCTGGGATGTCTGAAATCATAAGACCAGGAAGCTGCATTCATTTTTTTTTAGCTTTATTTTATGTATCTGAATGTTTTACCTGCATGTGTGTGTGCCCCGTGTGCATGCTTAGTGTCCTCAGTGGTCAGAAGAGGGGCATCTGATCCTCGGGGACAGGGATTATGGATAACTGTGAGTGTTGGGAGTTGAACTTGGTTCATCTACAAAGAGTGCTCTTAATCACTGAGCCATCTCTCCAGCCCTGGCAGGCTGCTTCTTAAGGATAAGAGGGTGAATGATAGCTTCATTCTAGGATACGAGGAGGCTGGCTGAAATATCAGTTCTCTCCACTGCACTCAATCTAGAAAGGATTTATAACAGAAAAAAAAAATGGGCATGTATTACCAAAGTAACAGATGACTGGAGAGATGCCCTGATGGAAGGCTTCACCAAGCTAGAGTGCAGGCAGACGTGGCCATCCACAAACTCACTCTGCAGGGCATCAGATGGCACCAGGGGCCAGGCTGAGAAGGGGCTTCTCCTTGTGAGAGGCAGGCTCACCAACACAGGAAGCATTTGGCCGGACGGCATTCACTCAGTGAATAGCCCTAAGTCTGAAGCTCCATGTGACTTGCTGTCTTACACAAGTGTCCACACCTAGGGAAGATCTAACCCAGCATTACCAGCAAGGACTAGCTAACGGTGGCCTTCCATTCCTCCCTTAGGAAATTACTGTCAGGGGAACGAGAAGCTGGGTATGGACTAGACATGAGTCACGACTGATACATACATGGACAGGACATTCAAAGAGCTGGTACCACCACGGACCTATGTGATGGAGAATGCCTCCCTCACATCACTAAACTGAGTCCTCCGTGTACATGGTACAAGACGATGAAACGGACTGAGCTTCACCGAGATCAGCCAAGCAAGCACAGCTGGGCCCACCTGTGTCAACACACACACCAGCCATGCCCCTCAGCCTCACAGCGGGGAGCAGGGAGGAGCTGCGTCCAGAAGGTAAACTGCAGCCTGGGGGGACAGCTCCAGGGGACAGTGTTGGTCTGACATGTGTAAGACCCTAGGCTCAACCTCCAGCACTTCAAAAATGGTTTAATTGAAATAAAACTAACGAAGAGGACTTTGCCCGCGTGTCCCACAGGAGCAGGGCCTGGCAGGCAGAAGATGGCAGCGCGTACCCTCTGACTCGGGATGATGGAGTCTGGAGGCGGCAGAGATAGGCACCTGCCCCACCCAGGGGCCCGAGGAAGGACTGTGGAGAAAGTGGTCTGGGGTGGGCAGAGACCCAAAGTGGGAATCCTGTGGGTGAAATCCGAATTACTTATTTCTCAGTTTTCACCCCTCCACTGCCAAATTCTTCTAAGGCCATGGTATAGTTCTGTTGTTTACCCCTTCGCTTTGGGTGAGTTGTTTCTGACCTATTTTTTCCCACGTTTATTTATTGTGTGTGTATACACACACACACACACACACACGTGTACACATGCACACACACACATGTACACACGCACACACGCACACATACACGTGCACACACACGTACATGTGGGAGTCAGAGGGCAACTTGTAAGAACTGGTTTTCTTCCGCCGCACGGGTCTCAGGGATCTCAGGTCGCCAAGCTTGGCAGCAAGACCCTCTGCCTGCTGAGCCGTCCCCCTGGCCCCCTTATCATTATTTTTGATAACTCATGTGCCACACAGGGTCACTTGGTGTCTTCCTGTCTTCAAGCGGGAACTTCTCTGTGGAATTCCTGGGCTCCGGCACTTGAGAAATCGGAGAGCAGGTGGTGCTTGAAGCTCCTGGCCTGGGACCAGCGGGTCCCCCATCCCCGTCTCTTTGGGTGGAGCGTCTGCCTGCGTGTGCCTACTTGGGACCATGAAATCCAGCTTGGAAAGGAAAGAACACTTTCATTTTGTTGTCATTGGAACATGAGAAATGGGTAGGAGACCAGAATTATTGGGGGTGCTGAGTAATGATCGTTAACATGTACACTCACAGTTTAAATGTTCCACTGTCTAAATTGTGCCACTTTAGAAAATCATACCTGAACACCAAGAACCACCGCTGGGGATCCCCCCCCCCGCCCCCCACCTCGTGCTTGCTACAGAAGTCCCTCTTCCTCCGGGCCACCACATCAGACCCAGAGTTACAAGGGAAAGAGCAGAGGAAGGTCCGGGGTGGTTTGGGCTTTCCTGTTTTTAAGTTGGACTTGGTCATTTTCTTTTGAGACAGAGTCCTCAGGTAGCCAGGGTTGGCCTCAAACTCACTGCCTAGCTAGGAGTGACTCCGGACTCTCGGTTTTCCTGCCTCTACCTCCCAAGTGCTAAGATTACAGGTATGTGCCACCATGCCCCGTTTAGACGATGCTGGGGCTTGAGCCCAAGGTTTCCTGCAGGCTAGGCAAGCACTCTATTAACCTGGCTACATTTCCAGTCTCAGACTTAAGACTTTACTTCACTGCAACCCAGATGGACCTTTCTGTCCCTGGCCACCACCGCATAGGGGCCTAACATGAATCACAGTTCAGTGAGAATGGATTGGATCTTGCAGCCAGGAGACAGTGCACACCCCCGTCCCCGTCCCAGCTCCCTCTGCACCTCCCAAATCTATGTCTGAGCAGGACAAGACGCCTTGGGTGCTGTCTCTGGGCCCACAGGACACTGACCAGGCTTCCAGCCCTGTGCTGGGCGTGCACGTCTGCAAAGCGGCCGTCTCTCTCCAGCAGTCTGCCCGGGTGGCACCAAACAGAGAAAAGCAAACACAGGGGAAGCCGTGAGGCTCAGCACCCCTTGAGTACACAGAGGCTGCGGCCACAGGCCCTCCGTGTCCCTAGGCTGGGCGCCCTCGGCTGCTGGGTCACCCTGCAGGAGGCCACAGTGACAGGACAGCTCTCACGCAGCACAGTTATGCCGGACAAGTGGCAGAACTTCAGAGGAGGCTCTTACCGTGTATTCAAAATAAAAGTTTGGCCTAAGAACAGGCTTGCTCCCAGGGAGCCTGCAGTTGAAGGAGCACGCTGTGCTGGAGGGAAGTCTCCTGGAATGGGCTTGTAGGATAGTGCCCTCTGAAGGGTGGCTGGCTGTATTCTTTAATGAACCCTACTGGCTTCTCTCTGCAGTGAGTGATGAGGGCTGTCTGTCCTCATGAAGATGCTCACAGTTACATGTGCCCTGCACACACTTCTCATCATGAAGGTGCACCTGGCCCTCAGTGTACCTCACCTGTGTGCTGAGCACAGATACTTGGGACACTGTGTGTCTGTGTGCACGTGCATGTGCGTGTGAGCGTGTGTATGCATGTGAATGTATGAGTGTGTATGCACATATATGCATGGTAGGGAATTTCCTTGTTATCTTCAGCTAGCCCTAAAAACCAGGAGACCTTAAATAAACCTTGGCCCTGTCTCAGGTTAAAGTATAGACTTCATTGTGTAGCTCAGGAACATGCCTCCATTAACAGTCCCCCTGGAGGCTCTTACTGAGTTCTCACAACAGTTCAGTGAGAATATAGGGTGACTGCACTGGGACTTTCTCTGTCTGTTTTTTGAGACAAGGTCTTATTATATTACCCCAGCTGGCCTAGTACTAGCTCTGTAGACCAAGCTGGCCGCAAACTCACAGGGATCTGCCTGCTTCTGCTTCTAGAGGAGTGCTGGGATTTGAGGCCTGTATGTCACCCTGCCAGGTCCTGGGGCTGTTTTTGAGGTCATAGGCTCCAGAACCAATAAATAACCACACTGTGTTAGTTGAGTGAGGAGTCAGGCCGTAGATAAGGCCCTGGGGGTGCTTTTCATTGACTTCTGTGCTGCTCCTGGGGTGCCCAGAACATCTGAGGCAAAGAAATGGGCCACCCATGCCCAAGCGACTCAGCTGAGCTCACACCACGGGGTGGGGGTGGGGGGGGGGTCACCAGGGAGCAAAGGCAAGCCAATCTGGGCTGGATTCTGCTGGGCTAAGGACAGGACAGGTGACATTTGTCTTTGTACACAGGATACAGCAAACAGTCTTTTATCAGTCAGAACAGCTGTTTGACAAACTGCTTTCCTAGGAGAAGTCCGGCCCGTGGGAGGATGCTCACTAATTAGGACCCTGGCTGGCTCCTTTGAGTCACCGAGGGAACTCCAACAGCTGGAGAATGCAACTCAAGGAAGGAACTTGGGAGCCCCAGGGTTACAGGCTCTGTGTGAGCCAGAGGTGTGTGGGAGAAGGCTCTCTCTCACACAAGGCCTCCCGGAGAGGTGTGGCTGAAGCCAGTCTCCGAGGGAGGCCATCTCCCATTTCTGGGGGGAGCAGGGGAAGGAGAGCAGGAAGAGCCGAGAGAGCCATACTTGATGCAGGCCTAGGGAACATCCGAGGCAAAGAAGTGGGCCACCCAGGGCAGACCAGATGCCAAATGAGCTGTGCCTGCCACAAACAGCAACTTCCTAGGAGGGTTTTCCCTCAGTGGGAGTCACCTCCTTTTTCAGGAATCTTTATGTCCCTATGTGCTCAGCGCAGGTGCACACCTTGAATCCCCGCACTCCGGAGGCAGATGCAGGCTGATCTCCGAGTTCAAGGCCAGCCTGGTCTACAGAGCAAGTGGACAGGACAGCCAGGAAATACACAGAGAAACCCTGTCTTTAAAAAAACAAAATAAAAAGAAGGAAGGAAGGAAGAGATAAAGAAGGAGAAAGAGAAAAATATAAACCATGGTACCAATTTCAGATAAAAGGAAGAAAATGGAGGAATTTTGAAAACTTAACTTTCTGTCTTTTTAACCTAAAACTTGGAAGCTTTTGCTACTTACTAAAGCAATAAAAGTAATTCACACTTCCAGGTCGTGGAAATTAAATACTGCAAAATGCTGTATAAACAGCTCGATGCCTTGAAGGGGTCTTTCACCCACTCCACGGTGAGCATCAAGTTATTTGAATATCATCCCGGAAGTGGCCGCCTGTCCTTGGCCCTTGCATGTGGGGAACGGGCAGCAAGGGTCTGACTGGACCACCCGGACCTGCTGTGTTTCCATAATTATGTGGGTTGGCTTCATCCAGACAAAGAGAACCGTCTGAAGGCACTAAAGAAATTCTGAGGGAGAGGACAGCAGCGGGCAGAGACGCGATACCAAGTGCTGCTGGGTCCGGGGCTCCCAGGGAAGGGGCTTTAGAGGTGGGCCTTGTGCATTCTCAGCCCAGACGGGCAGCCATTGACATTTCCCCCATTCCAGCTGATTAAAGGAGACCAGGGAACAACTTACTCCTTAAATTGCAACAACAAAGGCCTGCCTTCTCCATTCAATCAGAACAGCTCGGCTGCCCGATTCAAATGCTAATAGCGGGGCCAGAATTGGTCCCTAAATGAGGGAAACACTCCTCCGACACCACCCACCACCCTACAAATGACCAGCCAGCGGCCTGGCCACCAGAATTCTCCCAGGTGTAGGGTCTGTTAAATGTCTCATGGGAAACACCCTAGCGGTGAGAGAGCAGATTTCCCAGAGGGTGGGGAGGAGAGGCCTCCATTCATGAGCGCATCTGACTGGAAAAGAACTTGGTCTCCTGGAGAACCACCTTCCGACATTTTGACAGATTGGATGCATCTTGTGAATACCTTGAGGAAGACCACCGCCACAATCCATCCTAGTTTCTGGAAGGCCTCTGTGGACTTTGAGTGAAGGGCTTGGTTGGTTTCGCAGCTCTCTATCTGTCATGGACACCTGTGCGGCCTGGAGTCCCCTGCCTGCTTGTTTTATCCACCTTGGGCTCACAGGGCAGGCCAGAGTCAGACTGCCCCAGTTCAGCTCCTAGGTGGCAACCTCAGGCCGGGTCCTAGACCCATACCCTGGGTTTCACTGTGTCCTTGGTCAGTTTGGAGGGAGTGAGGGTAATGCCCACATTTCCATGCTGTTGCAGAAAAGTACATACAACACATGCAAAGGCCGTCTCTGCCATCATGACAGTGGTACGTGTACACACACACACACACACACACACACACACACTTTACATCTGCCTTGTCTGTCACTATGTGTTGTCGTCCATGCTGATCTCACACCTCCCCACCCCTCTTAGCAGGGTGGTCACTAGGAAATGGTACACACACACACACACACACACACACACACACACACACACACGGAGGCCATGGCAGTGCACAGGGATGTCCAGCTAACCTCCTACTAACTAGGAAGCACGCACTGCTGGAGCAAGTACTAGATTCAAGCTCATGCAGAGGAGCTTCAGTGACCCCAGTCCTGGGCAGGTGATGAATCCCCTGCCTCGCCTCTGCCCTCTTTCCATGTTCCCTCACAGCCACACAGAGCCTTCACCCCATCTTAGCCCACACCAGGTTCTCCCTCAGGATTGGATTGTATGGCCCTTCCTTTTCTAGGAGGCAGCTTGAAGACTGTTTGGTAGCGACAGTGCTTCAGTGTCTACGTGACAAGAAAAATGAAGGTGACCGTGAGGGGACATCAGACGTAGAAGAAGACACCAAGGGCTGGACACAGGGCAGGGCAGTGGGTCTGGTGGGAGGCTGTGAGGAAGGAAGGGGAAGGGAAGGAGGGTGGGAGGAGGGAGGGAGGGAGAGGAGGGAAGGAACGGGAAGGGAGGGCAGGGAAAAAATGGAACCTGAGTGTGGTGGTTCACACCACAAAACCAGCCTTCTGGAAGATAAGGCAGAGTGATTTTGAGTTTGGGCTACAGAGTGAGCCCCCAAGCCCTTGTCTCAGGGGGTCAGGGGGAGCTTACCTTCTGGAGAATTCCATGTTAGCGAGGGAGGTGGAATACATCTGGTACAAACAGCTAAGGTATATTTTGCCCCGGGAATCCGTCTTCATCTTACCCGTAATCTTGCTCTGTAAGATGCATTTCACGGTGAACACATCCTTCCTGCTCCTTTTAGCTACCCGCCTTGTAGCTAGCAAGCAATTGAATTTCTCAAGCATGGGGACGCAGACCCCCTTGTACCACTCTGGTACAGGCTGGCAAGCACGCCACATGCAGTAGCTGTCCACTGTCCCGTTTTCCATGATGGCTGAGTGGAAACACCACTCTCTTGTTCGGGATTACAGTGCCTGTGCTGTGTGGATGGACACCTCACCCTTGCCTTCCCCAGCCTCACATTCCTGTAGGTGTGACGTCTGCACTTAAGCTGTTCTGCCTTTATCTCAAAGGACAGCACCAAGAGATGGGGGCCGCAAGAGCTCAAGAGCCTGCACCAGCCTGACACTGGAAAGAACAAACGTATCATTTCAATAACGGCCAAAAGTAGTATCCAGGGTGCTGTTTAGGACAGTATTTTAAAAAACCCAAACATGCGGGGGTGGGGTGGGTGGGGGGGGTG